TAAAAGATTACTTAAATATACACATAGAATTTTAATATACATGCATTTATAGGTATTTATATTCTACATGTATACTAATGTAATCTTTTATGTAATTATATGTATTTATCTATATTTGCGGTTATTTGTATTTTATATATAGATAGATATATATAGAATGTCATTCTAAGTGTATTTTGTTACCAATATATATATATATATATATATATATATTAATAACAAAATACAGTTAGAATGAAATTACATATGAATATATAATTTATATTAAATTTTGTTTCAATATTTTATTTATTTATTTTATTATTTTATTTATTTATTATTGTAATTATACGTATATATATATATATGTGTATATATCTATTATATATATAATATATATATATATTATATATATATATGTAACGTCATTCTAAGTGTATTTTAATACTAATATATATACTAATATTAGTATTAAAATACATTACGTATGACGTTACATATATATAATATGTATATATATTATATATATAATATATATACATATATTATATATATATATATATATATATATATATATATATATATATAAATACTTTTAATTTATTTTTAATTTAAATTATTTTTATTTTTTATTTTTTTACACTTTCCACCAGCAGGGGGACTGTCTGATATTTCAGACAGTCCCCCTGCTGGCAGATCCACAGCCAGCTATAGAGCAATCACATGGCCCCCGGGGGCCTCATTTGCTGGGGGAGGGCTGCCTGGGCTGTCAGGCAGCCCTCCAGAAGAGGATCGCAGCGGAGTTAAGTAAATCTTACCTCCCCCAGGCTTAAGCCCGGTGCTCATTAAACAGACCTGCTTGACCCTTTCTTGAAGCCTTGGCTCATGCTTAGGGGATGGGATAATTACACTCCGGGGATTGCTCTAATCACACTATACTCCCCAGGGTTCAATTAGAGCACTAACCTCTCACAGCGCTTATTCTCTAAAGTGAAAAGTGTCGGGTATTCAAAGTGACATTCTAATTTGAAAGCTAAACTGTAAGCAGTATACTTCCTGTTACGCGCTCTGGAAGAAGAGAGATCTGCCCACGGGAAGCTGGATCCTGGCCTTGGTTCCAGGGTGGGTGAAGGACGGCGAGACCCCGGCGCAGCTGCATCTCTGGAAGTGGGGTCTGCAGTGCTCATGGTGTCAGTTGGAGTGCTTGGAGTCCTCGGCAAGCACTAGGAGCATCGATTGGCGGAGGTACTCGGTCAGAGTGCCAGCGGTCCGTCACACAGAATATCCTCAATTAGAAGTCATGGATCTCGTGACAGTGGGGTGCAGGGGTTTTGTAGAAGTGGGGCTTTTGTAGACTGGGCACTGGGCAGGGATTTTGTAGCAGGGAATTCAGGGGGTTGGTAGAAGGAGGACTGGGCAGGGTTTTGTAGAAGACAATTAAAAAAAAAAAATTAGAAAACATAAAAAAAATTGTTTACACTTTAATTGGGGGGAGGGAGATGCCAAACACAGGATCCGCCACGGGTGCAAATGCTCTAGGTATGCCCCTGGTGCCAGGAGGCCCCCAGATGCACTTACACCCCAAAGTTGCATTCAGCACCAATCTCATCTCCCCCAGGCGGCATCCAGCTTCTGAAATTTGACTTTCAGGAAGCGTGGAATGCCGCCTGGCAGTGGTGCCACTAAGAGCAGTCAGCTGACACGCTCAGACAATCAGTGATTCTCCATTTACAAAACTGTCTTGGAAAAGGTACGTTTCTTTACAAGCCTGTTTTCAATGCTCTCAGCCAATCAATGGCACCCATGCCCAGCGGCCTGGTGCCACCTGGTGGGGTAGTGGAGATCAGCGCTGGAGGCAACTTTGGGGTTAAACCTGGCCCCTGAAGATGAGTGCACCCGGGGCCTCCTAGCACCATAGCAATTTCATTGACATGAAGTTGGTATGGTGCCTTTAGCAGCCTAAACTCTCCCTTTAACTATGCTTACAGTTCAACTACTTTACTTTCAAATTAGAATGTCACTTTGATTACCTGACAAATTTCACTTTAGAGAATAAGCGCTGTGAGAGGTTAGTGCTCTAATTGAAATTTGCTTGGCAAAACCTAACTGAAATTTTTAAAAAGTTTGATAATTTCTCAAAATAAGCTATTTTAGCCCAAATCTTGTAATTCCAATTTTAATGTGCTATCATTTGAAGTTTAGCAAATAATCAGATTATAAGGTTATTCACTAAAGGTCTAATTATATTGAGTTAAAATATGAATGACAAAATTAAAACCGAAAATACACAATCTGTGATCATGCCAGTTTTGGATAATATTTGCAGATCAACTATTTCTCCTAAAGTGTACAATTCGGATTTCAACTCACTACAATTTGCTGGTTAGTGAATAAACCCACATATATGATAGCACAAAATATCCATTTGTCTGCATCAATTCTCCAAGAAATCAGATGAGATGGTGTGCATTGTTAGAACTATAGCCTGCTGTACAATAGATTATCTACCACTGGAATCAGACCCTCAAGGCTGTCTGTTTGAAAGCCGGGGGGGTGCAACTATTTTATTTCCATTGAAACCTGCACTTTTTGTAAAATGGAAAAAGAGGACACACTTTTTTACATGAAGCATTTCAGCAAGCTAAAGTACATTAGGGGTCCGGAGTGTGCCTTTTATTCCAGAAGTTTGGTCCTTAAGGGATTAAAGAGAGACCCTTAGATTACGGTGTAACAAACAAATCACACATTCTAGGGTTTGTTTTGGTTCAAAATTTGAACAATTGCCTCCATCCTTAAATGGTTAAACAAACTCTCTTTCTTTAAAACAACTTCATCTTAAGGAAGTTGTTTTGACATGAAGAGTCACTGGGTCCCACCTTACCTCAAGAGGTTAAACTGTTTTTGAATGGATTAACCCCAAAGGTGGGCTCCTTATGCCCATGTGCCCTGTCTCCTGTGGCCCACCCTGCAATTCTGCTTCTGCTTGGTTGGCAGTGATGGGCTCAGAGCATCAGTTGATGCTGTCTGCCTATCACTGGCCACCCATTGAGCCCCCCTCTCCCTAACCTTCACTTTATTTTCCTTCTGACGCAAAAGCTTTTTCTTATTTATTTTTCATTCTGTCTTTTTAATGCATCGGTCAACCAGCACTCACATACCCCCTCATTCAAGCACACACAACCTCATTAACCCCGGCAAGACTTACAAAGCTACCGTATTTATCGGCGTATAACAGCTACCGTATTCTCCCTGAAAATAGGGGGGAAATTATGGGTGCGTGTTATACGCTGGCTCTTTAAATACTGCAGCCGCCTGACCGCTCTGTCAAGAGCGGTCAGGCGGCTACAGTTGGTTCTCACCTCTCCTGTAGCGCGGAACAGGAGTTTCTGTTTCCTGTACCCAGTCGGACTGACAGGAAGGTGCACACTGAGCGTGCACCTTCCTATCACTCCGGCCGGCCACCGCGGACAGCAGAGCAGCTCGGCCAGCCAGGGAGGGAAGAAGAGGGGAAGAGGGGAGAGGGGTAAGAAGAGAGGAGTAAGAAAGGGGGTAAGAAGAAGAGGGAGGGTACAAAGGGTAAATAGAGGGAGGAGGAAGAGGGACGGGGGAGTAAGAAAAGGGGGTAAGGTAAGAAGAGGTAGAAAGGGGGTAGAGGGTAAGAAGAGGTAAGAGCAAGAAGAGGGGGAGTAAGAAAGGGGGGGTAAGAAGGGGCAGGGGCAGGGGGGGTAAGAAGAGGGGGAGTAAGAAGGGGGTAAGAGGGTAAGAAAGGGAGTAAGAAGTAAGAAGGGGGTAAGAGGGGGAAGTAAGAAGAGGGGGAGGGGGGAGTAAGAAAGGGGGGTAAGAAGAGGGGGAGGGGGGAGTAAGAAGTTCTTTATTTGAAATTTAAGGTTTTTTTTTTCCTGAAATTTCTTTCTTAAAATGAGGTGCGTGTTATACGCCGGTGCGTGTTATACGCCGATAAATACGGTACTTACAACCACCAACCTCTCCCTCACACACCCTCTGTCATTCTCAAGCCATTTTCAGTTCACTTTTCACACTTGGTCTGTTGGGCTGTTATTTTTGTGCACATTTAAGATGGCTTTTTGTGGGTGGTGGTTGTATAATGGTCTCTGTGGCTCCCCTCCATAACGTGCAACTTGTGATCTAAATGAAAACCCATTGGAAGTGCTTTTTATTCTTGTTAACGTTACAGTACCTGCCTATTGCTTAATCTGCCTAATCTACACCACAAGATTAATGATTAAATCATTTTTAGGCTCGATAATGTTTTCTGACTTTTGGATTGTGATTGCTTTGATAACTGCAAAATAATGGCAGAAGTCAGAAAATGTTATAAATTGTTAGCAAACACTGGATTGTGATGTAGGTCTACCTATATATATCCAAACTATAACATTGATTCACTTCTGGTCACACATTTAATGAACTGTGTTACTCTTTTATTATCAATTTAATTTTACTTTACCTAAACAATAAAATTTTAATGAAATGTTCAAGCAAAACATTTTAAAATGTCCAGTTTTAGAATAAACCCTATCTAGACACCTTTCCATGACCTATAAGTCTGTTTACCAGCAATGAATGACTAAACCTAGTTAAAATAGTCTTTATAATTCCAAAAATAGTGAGAAAAAAAAATGGAAAATTGATGTTTACAACACACTGCTCTACTGGTAAGACAAAGCCCACACCAAAGGCCCAAAAACAAACCAAACAAACATTATCTAATCAATATGATAGTCCAGGTGTTACTTCCAATATTGATGTCAGGTCCCTAACCAGTTCTTCACCGCAAGCGGTGGCTTTCGAGTCCCGCGCGGTGTTCGCGGCGGCTTTACTTTACGCCTCACCACTCGCTGCGGCTTCCGCGTCCCATGTGCATATCGCAGTGGCTTCACCCTCCTCCTCACCACTCACGGCGGTTTCCGGGTCCTGCGTGCTGCTCGCACTTCTCCCCTCACCACGAGCAGCAGTTTCTGTAGCCTGCTCGCTGCTCGCAGATGCATTGAGTCCTGCAGGCACTGGTTCTGATGCTGCAGATATATCACAGCAACTAGCTACTCAGAATTCCAGGATGGATGGTCTCGACCATCGCATGGATCAGTTTGCCCAGGCGCTACAGACCATCTTGCAGCGTACTGCTCACCTCCAACCAGAGGCAGAGCAAGCTACGGCTGCCCCTCAGACTCCTGCTCTTGAGACTGTACCCATTGTTCCAGCCCATACTGTACATATGACACCGCCTCAGCGCTGTAGTGGCGATCCTATTCTATGTTGCTGGTTTCTGAACCAAATTGATATACACCTGGTTATGAACCCACTCTCATATCCCAATGACAGAGCTAAAATAGCCTTCCTCATTACCATTTGTCCGGTAGGGCTCTGACCTGGGCCAATCCCATATGGGAATCGGGTCCTACTATGTCCTATGCTGACTTCTTGTCTGAATTCAAAAGGACATTTGACATGCCAGGAAGAGTTACCTCCACTGGGAAAGCCTTGTTAAGAATCAAACAGGGTTCTAGATGCGTGGCAGATTATGCTATAGAGTTCCTTACTCTGATGGCAGAGGTGGTATGGAACAACGACGCACTGGTAACCATTTTTTAAGAGGGTTTGGCTGGTTACCTATTGTGGCGAAACTGACCTAGCCACTGGGCATTGGAGAAGACTGATTGCCAGCCTCCTGCCCTGTGACTATGGCCCCATGTTGAAATGCTGGATTTTCCCCTGCAAAGACCCGAAAACCGGGTCATTCGGTACTTTCCCTATGTGAGCAGTGTTACCCCAGATAGCTATGCCATGGAGCCCATTCGTATAACGAAAGACTATGTGAAAGACTTTGGCTCCATGGCAATTGAACTGTATGTATGTGATCTGAGCGCCATTCAGTAATAATTTGCGCTCAGATCTAAGCTATCTGGGGATATGTTGCATGTCTGTATTTTATGTACTAAATGTAACCTTGTGTATTTTATTGTATTTTACTGTCTTGTACTGCCATGTGGTTAATGGAGCTTTGCCTCTGTCCTTGGAGATAATTGGATTACTTACCAATTATCTCCAGGATAGAAGACTTTGGGCAGAAAAACCATGCTTCATTTGGTCAAATAGGACTTTCCCTTAACTTTTTAACCCCTGAACCGATTGCCCTGATTTTTGAATATGTGTATCAAGCATGTGGATTCTGAATATGTAATTTTTATGAAGGTTGGACATATTTTTTAAGTTATAGCACATGTATAAAAACTGTATTTTTCCTGCTTGTGATAATTATGTTAACCCATTGTGTAACATAATTATATCACAGGCAGAGGGGAGGATTTTGTGTATAATTGCTGGGAGTGTTTTCTGTAATGTACGTGTGTTATTGGTTGTTCTGTAAAGTTTGTGGATTGGGAATAAAAGAGGCTGTATGTGCCAGTACAGTCAGTTCTGCTTGACCTCAAAATGAAGTGTCGTCTCGTTATTGGGGGAATTGGATTGTATGCTGATTGCCAGGAGTGTAAGCTGATTGTATGCTTTTCCTGTTCAGCTGCTTACAGCATTCTAATGCTTGAGAGCATTCGTATGCTTCTCCGGTTCGGTGGTTGTGGTGTCTGCTGCAGTGCTTGGAGTCCTCAGGAAGCGCTAGGAGCATCCTTCAACGGAGGTACCCAGGTATTGTAAAGTGCTACGGAATCTGTTGGCGCTATATAAATGGCAATAATAATAACAATAATAATAATAATATTAATAATAATTTAAAGCTATTAAAGTGCTAAACCACTATGCTTCTCTTATAGTTAGAGTACCATAAATATAGTAACAGTAACAGGGTAGCAATACCAATAAGATGCTATAAACAGAGGCTTTAAAAACAGGAATATAAAATAAAAAAAAACATTTATTCATTTATAAAATGTTGTAAGTGTAATTATACTTTTTGGTGTTGCTAACCTAATACCATATGTTTCTTTTTTTCAGGCTAGGCAGTGATGGTTGAGCTTTATTTTTAATGGTAACGATTATGGATTTTGCAAAAAAAAAATGATTAACCCCTGAATAAATTAAAAAAGACTTACCTGTTTCCTTTGTGTTAAAAGAGTGCAATATTGTGGCTAGTCAACCTTCCAATACTTAGGAGGCATGAGATGCGTTCTTCTGTTGAAAACAGGATTGCATAATAGGCACAATTTATAAGCTATCCCTATGGGTTTAGGTGTATTTTATACAGGTCTGACGCTAATGTATTGCTTTACAGGTGTCTGCTTTAGGGGGCATTGGTCACTCCATGTAGCGTGGCTTTGCGGGCCAATGTAGAAGCTCTTATTTAGCTTCCTGTTACACCAGATAGAGGATAAAGAAGACCTATTACAGGAGGTAAGCAGACACGCAAGGGAGTGGTAGTAAGAGACACACAAAGGGACTGGTGGGAGAAATAAAAACACAAAGGCCGTCATCCATTGTTCTCACCATGTGCTTCATCCATTGTTCTCACCATGTGCCTCTGATACATGAAATGGTGGCCACCCAGTAACTCCACAGTTTGTCTGATAGTCTATCCAGCTGAACCAACAGATGAAACACATGGGGAACAGTGCAACAAACGAAGGGAATCATAAAACATATGGACAATAGTCATATTTGTGCACAATCTCCAGTTTTGTCACACAAATAGTGTTTTCAAATGCCATATATTTTCCAGGGCCATAGTCATGTGGCAGGAGGCTGGCAATCAGTCCTCTCCAATGCCCAGTGGACAATGGCAGTTTGTCACATGTATATAAGTACACATATACAGATGTATATATGAAGCATTATCTTAAAAGGCACAGCGCACTTTTTTCTATCCAATGTTACATATATATATATATATATATATATATATAAAATATAAAATATACTGTGACGCAGTGCCCTTCACCTCTTGTGCCTGGAGGGGACTACTGGCTAGCCTCCTGCCTTCCGACTATGGCCCCTGTGCTGATAGCTGTATTTTCTCCTGCAGAAAGGTTTATTTGTGTATTTCTGCTGGGGCGTTCGGGACTTTCAGTATGTGAGTATTGCTACCCCAGATAGCTATGCCATGGAGCCTATTTGTGTAACAAAAGACTATGGAAAAGACTTTGGCTCCATGGCGATTGAACTGGATGTAGGTGATCTGAGCGCCATTTGGTAATAATGTGCGCTCAGATCTAAGCTATCTGGGGATATGTTGCATGTATATGTTTTATGTAGTAATTGTAACATTGTGTAATTTTATGTCTTTTTGCAACCATGTGGTTAATGGAGTCTTGCCTCTGTCCTGGGAGATAATTTGATTACTTCCCAATTATCTCCAGGATAGAGAGGAGGGATAGTGATGTCAAGGTGGGAGTGTTTTGTTTGTATTGTCTGTAATTGGCTAATATCCAATATGTGTCCCATTGTTCCATCAGGTCCCCTAGGGGAGTGTCCACCTGGTGGACACTTACATAAATACCAGGCAGGTAGCCCTCAATAAACCAGACCTACTTGCACCTTTCTTGAAGCCTTGGCTCATGCTTGGGGGAAGGGATACCTACACTCTCGGGATTGCTATAATCACTTACTCCCCAGAGTAAGCTCTTGAGCTTGATTTGTTCCTGCTATGGTCTCTGGATTTAGGAGAGGTTCACCCACTGGGAGCTGGATCCTGGTCCTGGATACAGGGTGGGTGAGAGACGGTGAGACCCTTGCGCAGCTGCATCACTGGAAGTGGGGTCCGCAGTGCTGATGGTGACGGTTGGAGTGCTCGGAGTCCTCGGCAAGGGCTAGGAGCATCGATTGGTGGAGGTACTCGGTCGGAGTGCCAGCGGTCCATCACATATACTTACTTCTCCACGCTTTTCCCTCTGTTGGTTACTTCATCTATGAACCAAATAAGGCAAAAAGGCACCCATAAGTCTGCTGCAAAATATACACATAATATTTATATCATGTATAAATTTCGAAGCAGACTGGCAAGTTTTCATGTCATTTTCGCTTTCATTTTTCCTGAAATGAAAAATGAGAGTGAAATGCCACATGGATTAAACCAGAAGTGGCAGAAACTATTTTTCTATATTTCGCCATTCAAGAGTTAAAACTCAGTCTAAACAATATAATTCTGTTAGAGTATAAACCATTTGTTTTTAAAATTGCAAAGATATTCAATTTTTCTACAGTTTTTATATATGCAGAGCTACGGAAAGATGCTCAATGTATAACACAGCAAGCTTAAGCTTTAATCAATTGGCCAGCAATGAACTAATAAAAAAACCCAGCAAGGGAAAGTCATTCAGTGAGATTGTTAGTTTTCAGTTGAAACGAAGGATAATTCGCAGTATTGCAACAGATTTATTTTTAAATGTGCACTTGAGAGGCTGATTTAGAAAAGCTTTTTTTCCTATCACGAGGCGTGACTCCAAAATTTATTAAAGTCAATGTCAAAGCAAAAGTTGTTAAATATTTTTTAACTTTATATATTGCCCATGATAAATGAAGTGATATTTATTTAGCTCTGCTCGCTCAATATTTCAGTTTTAAAAAAAATGGTTATTCTATTGACGGGTGAAGTATTGCCAGTTTTTTGAATCACAAGGTTTAGTAAGGAGATTTGCTAATAAAATCTGATCAGAAATAACATTCATCACGATCACGTAACACTGGAAAAAGTTGAATATCTTTTGAAACTTCATAATAAATAAACAGTTGTAATCACCAATTCAGAAAAGAGCAATGCATTATTATCAGAGAAATTTAAAAGGATACTGTAGGCACCCAGACCACTTCAGCTCATTGAAGTGGTCTGGGTACCATGTCTCATGTCCCTTAACCCTGCAATAGTAATTATTGCAGTTATTGAGAAACTGCAATAATTACTATCCAGGGTTAACTCCACCTCTAGTGGCTGTCTACCAGAGAGTCACTAGAGGGTTTCCTGGTTTGAAACAGACCTTTGGTCCAGTATCTGACACTGGACGTCCTCACGCTCTACATAAGGATCTCCAGCGTCAGATTTTCCCCCATAGGAAAGCATTGAATAATGCTTTCCTATGGGGAAATCCTACTGCAAGAGTGGTCAGGTAGTTAGCGGAGGGAACGTCTCAGTCTTTCAGTACAAGAGTAGGATATATTTTGCTGTGTTCAGTATCCGTATAGTTAAGGATTTTTTATATTTGGCTGTTAGGATTGTAGTGCGGTGCAGGAGGTATGAGGTAGGCTTGAAGGGGGGGGGAGGTTGTCGGAGAGCTTTTGTAACACCAGTAGGGCATTCCCACCATATATGCAGAAATGTGCCCACATCACTCAGGTCTGGGTTAATTTTCTGCAAGATTTGTGATGTTCTATACCACAGGGTTAAAACTTTGTATGCCGTCTCTTAGGTCTTGCTCGCCAATGCTCAGTGGAGGGTAAGGTTGCATATTTTGTCCCATTATTGCTCCGTTAAAGTGTCACCCATCATCGTTTCCCATTTGCCCATGTAGGGAGGTGGTGGGAGGTTCCTATTGTCTAGGAGCAAAGTATATAAGTGGAAGACGGCATGTATGAGTGGTTCCAGGTCTGTACCCAGGCGTTCAAATGAGGTCAGTGTCCTGCTTAAGTCGGGTTTCTGTGGAATGCTGTTCAGG